ATTAAGGGGGTTACACTTATCAAAATCAAGTGATTGACACATAATTTTAAGGGATTTTTGGATTTTTGATAAGTGTAACCCCCTTAATGAATATTCATGAATATGATGATTGTGATCACTAATAATATTACACTAGAGTGCTGGTATGCATTAAACTGGGATTATAGTTAAACAAGAATTGTCAAAGGTGTTGAAAGCAAATTCTGAAATAGCAATACAATATCCAGAATTAAATGATTTAGTTGTCTATTATCAAGAAACTATTCAACATGTGATAAATTTTAAATTCCCTTTCAATTTATCTATTTTTTTTTTGAATTAAACATCACACAACTAATTATTGCATCATTAGGCAGGGCATTATTTGTATGTAGTTGGACCAGTGATTATAAATTGGAGTCAAATGTTGTCATTTAGAAATCAACTTCATAATAAAATAAAATCAAAAATCTACTTAATATTATGGATATTGTCAGATTTCTTGTATTCATTGTTGTTGACAGCAGTCTCAATCAAATTCCTAAAAGGTACAATTGTAGGAAGGATTAATTTATCTGGTGCTTATGAATGTAATATTATCAATCTATTTATTTAGAACAGATAATTTATTCAACAGAGGCAAATTGGACTTTAATAGGTTTATTAATATTGATTATTTGGATTTGTGTAAATAAAAATTTTGTGGATAGAAAAGGTTCAGGATTATTTGTTAAATCAAAAATACTACTACTACAATAAATACTACTATTGATGATTAATAATATATTTTTTTTAGTAAAAGTGAAATTATAACACAAATTACTATAATAATTAATGAATCAAACAAAATCATTGATTTCTTCACATTGTTATGATGAGTGCTGGATGAAGTAGTTGTGGAGGAAATATTTGTAGGAGGAATACTTTTAGGAATGTTTGTATCATTATTATAATTTGTGTTATTATTGTTTGTATTATTATTTTTATTATTTGTATTTGATTCATTTTCAAATTCTGTAATTATTAAAAGAAAAAAATTTTTTCAAAAATAAATAAATTGTTATTAGTTAGATAATGATAATAATAATAAAAATATACCTGGTTTTGATTTTTTCTGCTCTCCTTCATAAATAAATGAAAACTTTGGCATATCCATATGACTGTCATTTCCATTATTCTTACTATTATTACTATTATCATCTGGTAATAGCTCAATATTGGTTTTATCACAACTAGAACATTTCCAATTACGGGATCTAAAATCAAAAGTTCATAAATATATTTTAATAATATTTATGCCATTTCTCCATTTCATTTAGATGATAAAATTTATTATTTACCTTTTTGCTAATATTTTTCTCTCTGACTCTGTATAATCAATTCCACCAATTGCTCCATTTGCTAGATTTGACAAAAATATTAATAATCATTCCTTTTATCTTTTGATTAAAATAAAAATTAATATCATACATTTTGTTGTCAAAAATCCAATTAAAGCCAAAAGAACTGTACGAACTATATTTATATATATGTATATGTACACACACACATATGTAGTAATAAAATTAATGACAAATTATTAATCACAGTAATAATATTGTTATTATTGTTATTATCATTATTATACTTACTTCCCCAAGCTGGTAACCAATATTCAGGATGATATCCAGTTATACTAAGGCATATTTTCTTATTAAGTTCAAATCTACCATTTTGCTAAAATTAAAGGATCAGAAAAATCTAATATCAAATATATCAATCTTAATATATACATAGAAAGCACATAAAATAAATACAGTCATAAGCATCAGATTTGGTGGCTTGAATGGATATTCAGATGGCAAAAGTATTCGTCCATGATATCTATTATTAATTAAATATTTTTAACATTTTTATTAAACTAATTACAATTAATTACAAATTTTTTTAAATTTGTAGAACCTTCTTTACCTTCCACCTTCGAATTCTGTTGAATCAGGTCCACGAATTACAAAATGCCATTCAAATAAATTATTCTACAAAAAAAAAATTATACAATATTTACTAATTATCTCCAAATAAATAATCATTTTTTTACCAATTATCATTATTATTTACCTCAAGTGGTTGGGCTGTATAATCGCTACAAGTATCTTGTTGTAATTCGCGAGCCTCTTTTAAAAGCCTTTTAACAGCTTTTTGTTTTTTGATTATTTATATTGAATTGAATATATTAAATTAATTCAAACGATTCAATAATTTTGATAATAAATTTAATTTGTTTCAAAAAAAAAAAAGAAAACCTGGACTCCTCATATTATAAGAAGTTGTTGTCGACTCCATCTTGTCTAAAGTTTTTTTTTTTCTTTCTATCAACTGAAATTTCGAAAATATTTAAACAAAATCACTTGTTCAATATTGATTGGCCTAAAACAAAATTAAATATTTATGCAACTTTTTATTATTATTGTCTCACATAATAATAACAACAAATAAAGTTAACTAGATATGCGATCTTGGATATTACTCTTTGAAACATTTCGCAACAATGCTCCTTTTTTCTTGGCCTACAGAACTTTAAAGTTATGATAATTAGATCATTGAAAGTTAAATGTTCAACCAAATATTAAAAAATTCTTGTCTAAATCAGCCATTCATACTTGTCAAAAACTCCATTACCGTCTATAAGTGCGCAGGATTAGGGATCAATGCTACACCATTGTCTGACCAATCCAAATTCTGAGGATAGTCTGTTTGAAAACATTGAAATCTAGAAACACACAAAGGAGGAATCCTGATATCTATTATTAATTAAATATTTTTAACATTTTTATTAAACTAATTACAATTAATTACAAATTTTTTTAAATTTGTAGAACCTTCTTTACCTTCCACCTTCGAATTCTGTTGAATCAGGTCCACGAATTACAAAATGCCATTCAAATAAATTATTCTACAAAAAAAAAATTATACAATATTTACTAATTATCTCCAAATAAATAATCATTTTTTTACCAATTATCATTATTATTTACCTCAAGTGGTTGGGCTGTATAATCGCTACAAGTATCTTGTTGTAATTCGCGAGCCTCTTTTAAAAGCCTTTTAACAGCTTTTTGTTTTTTGATTATTTATATTGAATTGAATATATTAAATTAATTCAAACGATTCAATAATTTTGATAATAAATTTAATTTGTTTCAAAAAAAAAAAAGAAAACCTGGACTCCTCATATTATAAGAAGTTGTTGTCGACTCCATCTTGTCTAAAGTTTTTTTTTTTCTTTCTATCAACTGAAATTTCGAAAATATTTAAACAAAATCACTTGTTCAATATTGATTGGCCTAAAACAAAATTAAATATTTATGCAACTTTTTATTATTATTGTCTCACATAATAATAACAACAAATAAAGTTAACTAGATATGCGATCTTGGATATTACTCTTTGAAACATTTCGCAACAATGCTCCTTTTTTCTTGGCCTACAGAACTTTAAAGTTATGATAATTAGATCATTGAAAGTTAAATGTTCAACCAAATATTAAAAAATTCTTGTCTAAATCAGCCATTCATACTTGTCAAAAACTCCATTACCGTCTATAAGTGCGCAGGATTAGGGATCAATGCTACACCATTGTCTGACCAATCCAAATTCTGAGGATAGTCTGTTTGAAAACATTGAAATCTAGAAACACACAAAGGAGGAATCCAATATTACAAGTATGATTGATTGGCCCGTCTATACACTGAAATATTTAAATATTCATATCCTGATGATGAACATGAACAAAAAGATTTGTAAAAAAAAATTCACTATATATGATTAAAATCAATACAAACGTTTATTTTACAACTGTAGATGAGTTTGATCATAAAAATATATGCAAAATTTGATGTTTGGGATGCTAAAAGTAACCATATTAAGCCTGGAAAAGAATTATATAACGTAACTAGTATTGATGCGGATGCTATTTCATCTGCATTTGGTGTTGAAATACTTGAACGTTTTGGTTCTAAAATGCTTTCCTTTTGAACTTTGTATCACTAAAAATGTAGAAGCTGTGGACGAAGAAATTTATATTTGAGTTGTAATTTAAGTTTTTAATTATATTCAAGTTTATATTTGAGTTTGAATTTAGACATATTAATCACTTAATTTAATAAACACTCACTTCACTTGTAAAATTATATTTATTTATTTAATTAATGATTTACATAATTGATTATCACTTCCTCAACTTTTTATTTCAAGATATAAATGAAATAAATTTAAATTGAAGTTTTAAATGATCTCAGTAAGGAGGTAGATTTATTGTGTTATCTTGGAAATGATATGTGCAAGATTTATTATTATTATGTATGATAAAAGGTGCGAGCACCATCTTCTGACAAGATTACACAAATCAGAGATTCAGATGAAAAGTATAAAAAATTGATACTTATGCTCAAAACAAGGACAAGAAGTGTCTCAAGTCATATATTAAAAGAGATAAATGTGATAAATGGGTTTACTCCCCAAATGATGGTTGCTCATTGATATGCTTATAAATGTGCATATAGGGAAGCAGTAAAAAACGCATGTGAATTACTTTTCCAAAGGATAGGAAAATATTTCATGATGATTATATCTCATATGAGGACTTTAATATTAATGATCCCATTAAAAGATTATGGAAGAGAGCAGTAAATTATGTTATTGGATCTATGGTGGAAAAACCTAATAGGACAAGATATACTCTGGTCTGTAAAATAAGGGTGATCCTATATACAGGACCGGTCCTGTGGCTAAATATACAGGACCTTCCTGATTTGGAAGTGGCACCTATGATCTGCATGTTTTTTAATAGAACCCTTGTTAATTCATATGCGTGATGATTAATTTTAGTGTTTTCAATTAATTTATTTTTGCGAATTTATTTAAAAACTATTACTATCCTGCTTGCTT